TGCTGCTGCTGCTGCTGCAGCTGCTGCTGCCGCAGCAGCAGGGGCCCCTCCTCCTGCACCCGCCCCTGCCCCGAGCCGCTGCTGCAGCGCCGCGCTGCTGCTGCTGCGGCCCGCTGCTGCTGCTGCTGCTGCTGCTGCTGCTGCTGCAGGGAACTGCAGCCGCAGCAGCTTTTGCTGCTGCCTCCTTTCATATCTTTCTTCTCTTGTTTCTTCTCGGGCCCTTTTTAGGGCCTCGGGGCCCCTCTCAGGGGAAGCCTCCAGCCACCGCCACCGCCTGCAGCAGCAGCTGCCAGCATCAGCCTCAGCAGCAGCAGCAGCAGCAGCAGCAGCAGCAGCAGCAGCGGGGGCGCGGGGCCCCACAGGCTTCCCAGGGGGGCCCCCCTGATCGGCCTCCAGGGGGGCCCCCAGAAGCTTCCCTAGAGGGGGGCCCCCCAAAAGACCCTCGGGGAGATTCTTTAAAGGGGCCCCAGGGGGCCCCTCGGGGGGCCCCCTGGGGGGCCCCCCCAGATGCAGCTCCTGGGGGGGCCCCCCAACTGTCTCTGCTGCTGCGCTGCTGCTCGCTTCTGCTGCTGCTGCAGATTTAGGGCTTTTAAGGAAGTGTCTGCTGAGACGAATGCCCCGGAACTTGGCGGTGTTTTGCTGCTGCTGCTGCTGCTGCTGCTGCTGCTGCTGCTGCTGCTGCTGCTGCTGCTGCTGCTGCGGTGCTGGTGGCTGCACAGAGGACAGAAAAGGCCAAGTGGGCTTGCCGAGCTGCTCTCTCTTTTGCTGCCGTCTAGGCAGCAGCAGCAGCTGCTGCTGCTGCTGCTGCTGCCGCTGCTTCTCGAGCTTCTGCCGCAGCAGCCGCTGCAGCGAGTACAGCCGCTGCTCCGTCAGCCGCAGCTGCTGCTGCAGCTGCGCGTCTTGGCTCAGCAGCAGCTGCTGCTTCCCCTTGGGGGCCCCCATGAGGGCCCCCAGGGCCCCCCGGGTCACGGGGGAGCTCAGGGGCCCCTCAAAGGAGCAGCAGGGGCTGTGCATGCATGCAAAGGGGGCCCCCATGGGTCTTTTGGGGGCCCCTATGGGTCCTTTGGGGGCCCCCATGGGCCTTTTGGGGGCCCCCTGTTTCCTGCGGCGGGTCTTCCTTCGCGGGGCCCCGCGGCGCTGCAGCAGCGGCCGCCGGCCCCGTGCTGCAGCAGCAGCAGCAGCAGCAGCAAGTGCAGCAGCAGCCCCAGCCGGGTCCGTCCCACCTGCAGCAGCTGCAGCACGAGGGCCAGGGGCCCCACTCACTGCAGCACAGTTCTCGCTGCTGCCAGGAGGGGCCCCCTCCTCCACAGGGGGGCCCCCATTCCCCAACTGGGGGGCCCCCACCCCCAGCTGGGGGCCCCCCAAAGCCCAGGCTGGGGGCCCCCCGGGCTCTGTGCCGTCTGCTGCGGGGGCCCCTGGGGGCCCCACCACTTCCACAGCACAGCCCCCGGCAGCAGCAGACCCAGGGGGGCCCCCTGCTGCTGCTTTTATGCTTAAGGGGCCCCCGGTGCCCTTTGCCCCAGGGGGGGCCCCCCTGGGGCCCCAAAGATGGGTCTTCTCAGACTTAACTGAACCCTCTGAGGTGACCCTGGGGGGCCCCCAGGGGCCCCCCAGGGGCCCCACAGCCTGGCCACTCCCCCCCGCAGCTGCAGAAGCAAAGTCGGGGGGCCCCCAAGGGGGGCCCCCCGTGCTGCTGCTCCCAGCCGAAGGCTGCGGGGGGCCCTCTGCTGCGGGACTGCCCCCACGAGCTGCTGCTGCCTTGGGTGCTGCTGCTGCTTGCGCTGCTGTTTCTGCTGCTGCTGCTGCTGCTGCTGGCTGGGCTGCTGTTGCCGTTTCCGCTGTTTCTGCTGCTGCTGCTGCTGCTGCCGCCTCTGCTGCTGCTCGTCCTGCTGCAGAAGCCCTCGGGGGTCTTGCTGCTGCTGCTGCACCTGCCCCCATTCTCAGCTGGCTGCCCACAATAAGGGGCCCCCCGGGGCCCCTCCTCACTGAATCCTTTTTCCCACCCTCAGGGGGGCCCCCCCCGCACTCCTGGGGGCCCCCAGGCCATTCCCTAAAGCCTTCACTGTACCCTATGGGGGCCCCCCTGCATTCACTGGGGCCCCCACTGCACACCGTGGGGCCCCCAGCGCACTGTGTGGGGCCCCCATTGCACTGCGTGGGGCCCCCAGAAGAATTTGTGGGGCCCCCCATACAACTCCGGGGGCCCCCCGTGAACTCGTTGGGGCCCCCAAAACACTCTGTGGGGCCCCCAGAGTACCCGGGGCCCCCAAGACACTTTGTGGGGCCCCCAGGACACTCTGTGGGGCCCCCAGGACACTTTGTGGGGCCCCCAGGGCAATTTGTGGGGTCCCCTGTGCATCCTGGGGGGCCCCCAGGGCACTCTGAGGGACCCTCAGGGCACTGTGAGGGGCCCCCATGGCACTGCGAGGGGCCCCCAGGGCCCTCTGAGGGGCCCCCCGGGCCCTCTGAGGGGCCCCCCGGGCCCTCTGGGGGGCCCCCAGGGCCCTCTGAGGGGCCCCCCGGGCACTCTGGGGGGCCCCCAGGGCCCTCTGAGGGGCCCCCCGTGCACTCTGGGGGGCCCCCAGGGCCCTCTGAGGGGCCCCCCGGGCACTCTGGGGGGCCCCCAGGGCATTTTGGGGGGCCCCCCTTGAAGTGCCCCGCCGCCAAGTCCACCACAGTGTCCACAATTTCGACTAAGTCCATTTGCGTCAGCAGCTGCATGTGAAAGCCCTCTACGAAAAACCCCAGCAGCAACACGGGGGAATCCGGGGCCCCAGGGGCCCCCGGGGGCCCCCCGAGGGCCCCTTCAGGGGCACCCCCAGGGGCCCTAAGGGGGGCCCCAGGGGCCCCCCAGGCTCCCAGGGGCCCCTTAGAGCTGGGGGCCCCCGGGGCCCCCGCACCTTCAAAGGATTTTCCCCCAGAGGCTGCAGCTGCGGGGCTACCCATGCTGCTGGGGGCCCCGGGGGCCCCCGGGGCCCCCAAGTGTACCCTTTTTTGGAGGGGCCCCCCTGGGGGGGCCCCCCAGGGAGGCAGCCGCACAAAGATGGGCCACATGCGCTGGAATTCCGCCACTGCTACGGGGCTTTTCTCCTTTTGGGCTTCAAGGGCCCTCTTTTGCCACAAAAGGGGTACTTTGGGGGGCCCCCCTGCTGCAGCAGGCAGTTTGGGGGGCCCCCTAGCTGCTTCCTTAGGGGCCCCTTCCCTAGGGGCCCCCAACTCTCCCCGGGGGGGCCCCTCAGCTGCGCAAGTGCCTCCACTGCCCTCTCCAGGGGCCTGCCTCACGGACACAAGATCCCCCCCTAGCTTCACCTGCTGCTGCTGCTGCTGCTGCTGCTGCTGCTGCTGCTGCTGCTGCTGCTGCTTGCTGCTCCTCCGCGCGTGCATGTGCGTGCTGCTGCTGTCTGTGCATCTGCTGGATCTCCTGGAGGCCCCCGCGGCGGCGCGACGCCGCTGGTGGGGCCCCCTGCAGCACGCGCTGCTGCTGCTGCTGCTGCTGCTGCTGCTGCTGCTGCTGCTGCTTGAGGACACAATTGCCAAATGCTGCTCCACACAATCAAACCAAGGCGCATCTATGCTGCAGCAAACAGCAGAATTCCGCAGCTGCTGCGGCTCAGCTGTCCTCACAAGCCGCAGGCACTGGGTATTGGGTCCTGGGGCATCTGAGGAGGAGCTGCCAGTTTCTTCCTCGGGGGGCCCCCCGAGGGGGGCCCCCCGGGGGCCCCCCCGGGGGCCCCCCCGGGGGCCCCCCCGGGGGCCCCCCCGGGGGGCCCCCAGGGGGCCCCGTACCCTTGCGGGGCCTCCCTCCTCTCCTGGCCAGTCTCGCGCCCGCAGAGCTCTTCGCCGCAGCGGCCGCAGCCGCAGCTGCAGCGCCTCTGCTGCAGCAGGGGGCCCCCCGGGCTCTGCTGCTGTGGGGCCCCACACACTCTGGGAAGCTGGGGGGGGCCCCCTGGCCTGTGCTGCAGCAGGGGGCCCCCCGGCCTGTGCTGCAGCAGGGGGCCCCCCGGGCGCTGCTGCTGTGGGGCCCCAAACGCTGTGGGGAGCTGGCAGGGGCCCCCCGGCCTGTGGGGCACCGGGGGGCCCCCCTGGCTGGGGCCCCCCTGCTGTCTGGGGGCCCCCGGGCTGGTGCTGCTGGAGCTCCCTGGGGGCCCCCGGGGGGCCCCCAGCGAACTCAGAGCTGCACAGGGGCCCCCCAGAGACTGGGTACAGAGGGCCTTCAAAGCTGCTGCTTCCAAATTGCAGGTCCTGTGGCAGCAGGGGCCCCACAGGGGGGCCCCCGGGGGGCCCCCCAGGGGGCCCCCCAACAGGGAACCCCACAGGGGGGCCCCCCTGGCCTAAACAGCTGCCTGTGGGGCCACTGTACCCTTCAGATTCCCCAGGCAGCAAATTGCTGCAGCAATTCGCAAGGCCCACAGATGAAACGCCTGGGGCCCCAGTAGCTGCAGCAGCAGCAGCAGCAGCAGCAGCAGCAGCACTAGCTGGAGGCTGAGCCTCTCCATTTCCGTAGTGATGCTGCAGCAGCTGCTGCTCTTGCTGCTCTTGCTGCGGCTGCTGCTGTGTCTGCTGCTGCTGCTTTTGCCGCTGCCCTTTGAATGGACTCTCCAGGTGCTGCTGATGCGGGTGCTGCTGCTGCTGCTGCTGCTGCTGCTGCTGCTGCTGCTGCTGCTGCGTGCTAAGCTCCAGCAGCTGGTGTGCGGCCTGGACCTGCTGCAGCTTCTGCTGCAGCAGCAGCAGCTTTTCTTTTTTGCGCTGCCGAATTTGCTTGACTTCATCTCCGCAGCAGCAGCGAGTGTGTCTGCGCAGCAGCTGCTGCAGCGTCTGCTTGCTGCTGGTGCTGCGGCAGCTGCTGCTGTCCCTGTAGCTGCATGCAATGCTGCTGCTGCTGCTGCTGCTGCGCCCCACCCACTGCAGCAAAGCCCACTCCTCCTCACACATATCAACAGCAGCAGCAGCAAACAGCTCATGCCAATCAAACCTCCGGCCCCACCCCAAATGCCCAAAAACCCCGGGGCCCTCGTCTGTGGCTGTAGGGGCCCGGGGGCCCCTGGGGGCCCCCCTAGGGGGGGCCCCCCTGGGGGGGGCCCCCCTGGAGGGGCCCCCCTCGGGGCCCCCCTCGGGGGGGCCCCCCTCGGGGGGGGCCCCCTTGGGGGAGGCCCCCTCGGGGGGGGCCCCCTCGAGGGGCTCCCCCGTGGAGGGGGGCCCCTGAGGTCCCCTGAGAGGGTTCTTTGAAGGGTACCGGCAGCAGCAGGGGCCCTTGCTGCTGCTGCTGGGCACAGAACGAGTTGCTGCTGCCTCCTGCGGAGAACGCACAGCAGCAGCAGCAGTAGCGTCACTGCAGCAGCAGCAGCAGCAGCAGCAGCAGACGGTGGCGCGGATCGCAGCCTTTTTCCGTTTAAAGACATAAACAACAAATGAAAGCTGGGAAGCAAATGCGAAAAGAGAGGCGCAGACAGCAGCAGCAGCAGCAGCAGCAGCAGCAGCAGCAGCAGCAGCAGATTAGGAAATACCAACTCACTCACCCCCCAACGGCGCCTTCTTTCTACGGGGGCCCCTTGTTTAGGGGCCCCCTGAATGGGGGCCCCCTGAATGGGGGCCCCCTGAATGGGGGCCCCCTGAAGGGGGGCCCCCTGGATGGGGGCCCCCATGTTAGGGGCCCCCAGGTTAGGGGCCCCCAGGTTAGGGGCCCCCGGGTTAGGGGCCCCCGGGTTAGGGGCCCCATTGGGGGGCCCCCCATTAGGGTCTTCTGCAGCGCTTGCAGCTTCTTGAGGGCCCACCTCCAGGGGGGCCCCCCTGGGGGGCCCCCCATAAGAGGCCCTGGGGACCCCTTTGTGGGGCCCCACATCCTTGGGGGCCCCCAATTTCAAAAGGCCCCTTTTTGGGTACTCTTTAGTCATGGGGGGCCCCTCAGAAAGGGCCCCATCCTTCAGGGGCCCCCCATTTAGGGGCGCCCTCTCGTCAGGGGCCCCCAGAGCTTGCGGCTTCTCCTTTGCTGCTGCTGCTGCTGCTGCTGCTGCTGTTGCAGTTTGCTGCCCTGCTGCAGCGAGTGAGCAGCACAAGGAAACACAAAGCCACAGGAGACAAATGGAAACGCCGCTGGCCACACAAAGGAACACCAGCAGCAGCAGTAGCAGCAGCAGCAGCAGCAGCAGCAGCACTGCAAGCAGCAGCAGCAGCAAAGATGCAGCAGCAACAGCGACACCACAACGGCAACTGCAGAATAACAGCAGCAGCAGACTCGCAACAGCTGCAGCAATTCAACAGCCGCTGCACAGCAGCAGCAACAACAGCAGTAGCAGCAGTAACGGAGCAGCAGCAGCAGAGCAGCAGCACAAGAGCCACAGCTGCCGTATAAAAGCAGCAGCAGCAGAAATGTAGCACAAGAGCAGCAGCTGCAGCACAGCAGCAGCAGCAACATAGCAGCAGCAGCAACACAGCAGCAGCAACATAGCACCAGCAGCAAAACAGCAGCAGCAACATAGCAACAGCAGCAAAACAGCAGCAGCAGCAGCAGCAACACAGCAGCAGCAGCAGCAGCAGCAACACAGCAGCAGCAGCAGCAGCAGCAGGGCCCCACAGTGTTTGCTGCTGGGGAGGGTTCGGCGCTGCTTGGCTGGGGTTTTGAGCAGCAGCTCTTCTGCTGTGAGGGCCCCGCTGCAGTGGTAGCCCCAGCAAACGAAGGGTTTAGGGTTTTGTTCCTGCTGCTTCCTTTCCTGCGTCCCCAAAACCCCAAACCCCAAACCCTGAACCCTAAACCCTAAACCCTAAACCCTAAACCCTAAACCCTAAACCCCCCAACCCGCAGCCGCTCTCGGACCGCACCCCGCATCCGCGGCTCCCTCCACTTCCTCGCCCCCCAGCCCCTATGATTTACGGTTTAGGGTTTAGGGTTTAGGGTTTAGGGTTTAGGGTTTACGCGGATGAGGGTTTTGAGGGTGGTTTTGAGCAGCTGGCTCTGGGGGCCGCACAGCAGCGCAGCAACGCAGCAAGGACACAGCCGGGAGAAGCAGCTGCCAGCACAATTGCTGCTTTCGGCTTTTGTCAAAAAAGATAAATTCAAACCCCAGTGCAGCTGCGCAGAACGCTGCACCACCACGTCCCCCATGCACTGCGCTGCGGCCACCAGCTGCAGCAGCAGCAGCAGCAGCAGCAGCAGCAGCAGCAGCAGCAGCAGCAGCAGCGGCA